TGAGCTTGAGAAGGATTGTGAATATACTGACAGGCTTGGTTGACAGCAAAAGCCAAATCCGGACGAGTAATAGTCAAGTATTAAAGATCACCAACAAGACTACGATAAAGAGCAGGATTAGAGAAGGGAACATCAAAAGGAGAGACAGCAGGTTTAGCAGAAAGAGGAGAAGAAGCGGGCTTGCAATCAGTCATGCCAGCATGCTTGAGCAGTGTAGAAACATACTGGGATTGAGACAAAAAATAACCAGAAGAAGTAGAAGTAATTGAAATGCCAAGGAAGTGAGAGAGATTGCCTAATTCCTTAAGAGAAAAGGCTGAATATAACCGAGCAATAAGGTGCTGGAGATGAGAAGGAGAACTCCCAGTAATAAAAATATCATCCACATAAACCAAAAGATAGGTTAATGAGGAAGAAGAGGCTTGAACAAATAGAGAATTGTCACAATGACTATTGACAAAACCAAGAGAAAGTAAGAAATTAAAGAAAATGGAAAACCAAGCTCGTGGAGCTTGTTTCAAACCATAGCAAGACTTGTTAAGCTTGCAAACATAGGTAAAAAATTGAGAATGAACAAAGCCAGGAGGCTAAGACATAAAAACATTTTCTTCAAGGTGGCCATGAAGAAAAGCATCTGAGATATCCAATTGTTGAATAGGCTAGTTATAGTGGAGAGCAATACAAAGAAAAACTCTGATTGTAGGTAACTTAGCAACTGGATTGGAAGTGTCTAAGAAATCAATGCCTGCTTCCTAAAGATAGCCCATAGCAACAAGGCGAGATTTGCACCTAGCAATTGAACCATCTGAGCTTTTTTTAATCCGAAACACCCATTTGTAGCCAACAATATTTTGAGTAGGAGAAGGTGGCACAAGAGTCCAAGTATGCTGACCTTGTAAGGCCGTAAACTCCTCAAGCATAGAATTAAACCAATGAGGACATTGAAGAGCTTCTTTATAAGTGTGTGGTTCAGAGGTAAGAAAAGAAGAGGAAGAAGAAGAAAGAGCAGTGAGACCAAATTGAGCAGCAACAACTTTAGCTTGAGTAACCATAGAATGAGAATTAGTGGAAGCAGGAGGAGGTAAGATTGGAATAGTAAGATGAATACCAGGTGAAGAAGAAGAAATAGGAGATGAAATAAAACTAGGAGCTGTAGAAGAGGATGTAGGAGAAGAAGAGGCAGAACCAGGTAAGACAGAACCAGGAGATGCAAAACTTGATGCATGAAGTATAGAAGAAGAGGGCTTAGACATAAGAGAATCAAAACTAGCAAGAGGAAGAGAAGAAGAATTAGTAGGTGAAGAGGGAACAGAACATGTAGGACCCCAAAAAAATGAAGAAATAGCATCCTTAGAAAAAAGGAGAGGAGGAAGAGATGAAGATGAGGAAGCAAAAGGAAAAGAGAGCTCATCAAAAATGACATGTCTGGAGATATAAACAGTGCCAGAGAGAGGATCCAAACATTTGTAACCCTTGTAACTAGGATGATAGCCAATAAACACACAAGTCTTGGATCTAGGCTCCAACTTATGAGAGGTGTAGGGACGTAACCAGGGATAACATTTACACCCAAACACCTTGAGAAATACATAGTCTGGAGCAGTCTTGTATAAAACTTCAAAAGGACTAAGATAGCCCAGCTTAGGACTGGCCATTCGATTTATCAAATAGGTAGCTGTAGCTAGAGCTTCAAACAGAACTTCAAAGGAACAGAAGACTGATCAAGTAAGGTAATGGCAGTCTCAATAAGATGTCGATGTTTTCTTTCAACCACACCATTCTGAGATGGTGTATGAGGACAACTCAGTTGATGAACAATACCAATAGACTGAAGAAGAGACTGAAACTGTCTTGAAGTATATTCGCCTCCACCATTAGTCCTTAAGATCTTAAGAGATGCAGAGAATTGCTGTTCAGTATAAGCTTTAAAATCCAAAAATTTAGAGTACACTTCACTTCTGTAAGAGAGGGGGTAAATCCAAGTGAAATTGCTAAAATCATCTATAAAAACAACATAATACTTAGAAGAATCAGATTGAACAAATGGCCCCCAAACATCTGAGTGAATTAAAGCAAGAGGAGATGTGGTTTTATTAGTAAATAACACAAAAGGAAGTCTGTGGCTTTTGGATACACAACAACTATTACAAAGAGAAGAACAATCTTTATGAGAAAAATGAAAGCCATATTTATTAGCCATAGTATGAAAAACATCAAAGATGGATGCCCTAGTCTTTTGTGCCAAGTAGTAACAAGAGAATTAGTACTAGAAAAGGCTTTAGGAGCAGCAAAGAATAAAGAAGGAAAATGGTAAAGACCATTGTGGTATGGACCTTTACATAGCACCTTGTTACTAAGATTGTCCTGAACAACAAATGAATTATTATCAAAAGTAATAGAACAATTATTATCAGAAATCAATTGATGAATAGATAGCAAGTTAGAAGATATTTGATGAACATGAAGTAGATTATTAAGTTTGAAGTAAAAAGAAGGAGTAAACAAAATACCAGTTCCTGAATTATGAATAGGAAGAGTATTACCATCGCCAATCATGACTTGATCAGAGCCTTGATAAAGTTGATAAAGGTAAAGATTACTCAAGTCATTGGTAAGATGAGATGTAGCTGCAGAGTCCACATACCATGGAGGTGGAGATGAAACTGAATTCACAGGTACTGGAGCAGAATAAGCCTTGGGATTGGAAGTACCAGCAGAAGGATTCATAATATAGGAAGGAAACACAAACTGAAAAGATGAATTCATACGATGTCTACACTCAAGAGCTGAGTGGTTCCTTTACCACAAATTTGATAGACCAAACCATAGCTTTGAGGCCTACCAGTTCTTCGACCTCGATTATTGTTGTATCTGCCTCCACGATACTGATATTATGAAGAACGACCTCCTCTATTTTGAAAGAATAAGTGTTTAGTAAAAGCAGGACCAAAGGAATTTTGAGGAGAACTAGAACTACTAGAGGAATGAGGTAAAATGTTAGATCCATGTGTAGCAACAAAAGCAATAGTAAGATCAAAAGAACTGCCAGATTTATGACAATGTTCATCATATATAGCCTCAGAACAGAGTAGAGCACATAACTCATCCATAGTAAGTACTTCAGATTTAGCACGAATAGCAGTTTTGAAAGCATTATACTCCTCAGGGAGTCCATTGAGAACTAGAAGAATTAGATCTTCATCACAGATAGGAGAAGAAGCCAATGCTAATTAATCAACAAGATCTTCGATTTCTTGAAGATAAACTTCCATAGATTTATTCTTCTTGGAGACTGTACTTAATTTGTTCTTGAGCTGGTGTATATGTGATTTGGACAGAGAAGTAAACCGCTTCTCAAGAGCAAACCAAAGCTCTGTGCTACGTTTCAGATGAAGAACTGAAGAATAGATTGAAGGTGTAAGAGTAGCTATCAGACAACTAAGCAAACAAGAATCAACAATTTCCATTTCAAAAACTCAGAATTAGCAACAGCTTGATTGTTGGAATCCAGGACTATAGCAGGAGGACAAATAGTAGATCCATCAAGAAAATCGAAAAGTTCAGTAGTTTCAAAGAAATTCTGAATTTGACTATTCCAGACAGAATAATTTGTTGATTCAAGTTTAACTGTTATCAGAAAATTAAGATTGGAGACAAGCATAAGCATATTAGAAGGTAATGATGTCTTCTCAAATGGAACTGTGCCTGACTGATCTGCCATAGAAGACTTGTTAGGTTGAATCACCATTGTTGCTCGTGAGAGCTTGAAGAAGGCTTTGATACCATGAAGAGAGTAGAGAGAGAGAGAGAGAGAGAGAGAGAGAGAGAGAGATGTAGAGAGAGAAAAAAACTTCAAAAGATATTATTCATTTTAGTTGCATAATTACAAAACTGCACGGGTTCACTTATATACACAGATGTATGGTTTACTCTAACTAAGTTTGTTACAGAATCAGTTGTGAATTTGTTACATATAGAAATGATCTCATGTAAATAGACCATGCGCTTGTATTGGTCTCTTAACATTCATACCAATAGCTGACCTACAACTACCATACAAAGCAGTCTTAGCAGGTCTCCTATATGCACCTATAGTAGCTGAAGATGTAGCATATATAATAGGTGTATCAGGTGTAGCTGGGTCTGCTGTAGCTGATGGAGCTGGTGCAGCTGATGTAGATGTAACAGATGTAGCTGGGCTGGCTGTAGCTGATGGTGCTAGTGCAGCTGATGTATATGTAGTTGGGTCTGCTAGAGCTGAACACTTATCAATCCACACATTTAGGTTTGAGTTTGTGGGTGATTCACTTCTTCTTGAGAAATTTGCTATATCCATCTATAGTTTACATTTTTAAAAAATGAAAAAGAAAATGTGCCAACTATTATTGCCAACTTATTAAAAATAAATAGTGGTATGAAATTATCCAATATATATACGAATGTTCAAATAAAACCATATTCATGTTATTTTTGATAAACAAATTCTCTATTGTGTCCACAAGAGAAAGAGAGAGTAATAAAGAAAACGATGTATAAATAACATATTCTTCATACTTGCACTAAAAATTTAGTTAATACAAGACAATAATTTCATTGTAAAAGTATATACACCATCCTAATTCGAATAATGTAACCTTTTGTAACTGAAACATCTTCCTCCTAAAAGTTGCCTTCAGCTCCAATTCAATTAAATTATATGTATTATATATATATACATATATATATATATATCTATCTTGTAATGGCGTTTCAAATCTCACAAGGACTACGGTCCATTTTAAAATAAGGAATAAATGCACTAATAGTCTTCGATAGATGTGTTGTGTCATTTTGGTCCTTTATATTCCAATTGTGTTAATTTATTCTTTGAAATTTGCAATGGGTGTTTATGTAGTACCTACACCTAATGTTGTGCCAAATTATTAACGAAATTGAGGGTATCACTAATGGATACAAATGGTATTATGGGAAGAACCACGTGACTAATTACACTAATAGTTCCCAAAGTTTCAATGTGTTATCAGGAATCATTTGTTAATTAGTTTGGCAAGCCCTCAATTTCATTAATGATTGGGAATAATGTTACATTACATGTAGGAACTGCATAAACATGCATTTCATATCCGAAAGACTAAATTGCCATATATTAGGGACAATAACTAGTCCTTATATATTAATGAATAAATACATTGGTCTCAACTCATCCCCATGCAGTTTATGGTGATATATGATAGGCATGGGGCGGAGCAATTTGTGTATGTTTAGGCTCATCCTCAAGGAGTATCTTCTTGCAAGGAAATGACAGTTTCAAAGGCTCCAACAAGTGCTTTAACCTTGTTTTTTCTCTCCTCTCGAAGCTTGCTGGCTGTCTCCTCGATCACATCATTGTATGCTTGAGAGTGAGAATGAGAATTTGTCTTCCCTTGTACTTTTACTTGTCCTCCTTGTTGAAGAAGCTCTGTTGTTGCCTCTCCTTTTGTTTCTTCTATGCCTCCTTCGCTTGTAACTAGAACTGTATGGCTAGCATCACGATCTTCCTCTTCTTGATGATCTCTCTCCTTGGACTGTGTTGTTTTGCTTCCTTCTTCATTGACAATTTGTTGCTGCTCTTCCTTCTCCTTCTTTTCTTTCTCCTCCAAGAACTTGTCCTCTTTTGCACTAGTCTCTTCATTCTCCTTCTCCTCCAAGGACTTCTCCCCTTTTGCACTAGTCTCTTCTCCTTCCAAATTGGTTACAAAACTCTCTTCTACTTTCAACTCTGGGTGATTCCTTTTGTCACTGTAGATTTCATCTTTGTCATGAACTTCTCTTCCTAATTTATGATGGTTGTTTTTAATGCAGCTAGAGCTAGACCTACAACTGGTTTCTTCAGCTTCTCCTTCCACCATATTAACATCTAGACATAATGCATTTTGATCTTCTAAAGAAATTGTCCCCTTAAGCTCATAAGGTTGGATATTATTATTCACATCCTCATGTTGGTTTTTCTCCGGTTCAGCTAATTCTACAATTGATACATCGACAACATGTTCCTTATTATTATGATCTTTTTCCAGTAGTCTTGGAATAATATCAGTTGCAAATTCAATATGCTTGCTTTCAAACTTTACCAAATCTTCTTCAACGTCATTAGTAACTAATGAATATTCTTGATCTTCTTCTTGGTGACATTCCTCAAGCAATATTAGAGGATTATCATCTATTTCTGGAAATCTACCAGTAGTAGTACTACTTGCAGCAGTAGGAGCTTTGGTTGATGCAGCAGTAGCCGTAACAATAGTAACACTACATGGAGTAGCATTTTTTTGCTTCTTATTAATGCCGGTGTACGTGCCTGTAGTGCTCTTCTTAACATTACAACTACTACTATTACTGCTACTACTAGTCATAGTAGGTGATCTTGTGTTTACTACCATTGATGAGTGAGATTTTTTGACGTCCTCACCATGAATGGGAGCTTTCAACAACTTCTCTTGGCGCTGGTGGTGGTGGTGGTGGGGTTTTGGCAGAGAAGAGGTTCTTTGTACAGTAGCATTGGATAATGAAGAAGATTTGAGTTTTCTCTCATTCATTGTGATGGTGGGGTTAACAAAAGTATTTGCTTTCTGTAAAAGAGAATTAGGTGATGGAGGTTTGTCAAAGGATCTTCTTCTGTCGAGATAAGGAGTGGGCTTTTGCGTCTCGGTGGCCGTAGTGTTAATAATATTGGAATTAGGTGATGGAGGCTTGTCAAAGGATCTTCTTCTATCGAGATATGGAGTAGGCTTTTGGGTCTGGGTGGCCGTAGTGCTATTAATATTAGAATTAGGTGATGGAGGCTTGTTAAAAGATCTTTTTCTGTCAAGATTGGGAGTGGGCTTTTGGGTCTGGGTGGCCATAGTATTATTAATATTGGAATTGGAAGCTGAGGCTTGTTTCTTGCCATGAATATGATTAGAAATAGAAGAAGAATCAAGGCTCGAGCTTTTGGTAGCCCTCAGGTAGTTTGGAATGCGCTTGGAGTTCAAATTCTCGGATGGGGTTGCAACATGTTTATTATGTTTATGATCATCAGGAAGACCAATGCCATCAACAGATGCATTTGGATTTCTTTTACTTTGTATCGTCGTCCCATGATGATGTTGATGATGATGATGATCAGTACTGGTAGTATGTTTGGGATATGAAGGAGATGTTCCCCTCTTCTTCTTCCTGGTGTAGAATTCCCTTGTGTTTGTGTTTCCATCAATTAATATTTAACAATTCTCAAAAGAACCTGCATCCATAGTGTTAAGTGCAATTGAGAGAGAGAGAGAGAGAGAGAGAGCACATTTGAATTTCGAGGTATAAAGTTACACATTAACTAGATACTAAAACAACAAAGCTGCGTGAAGACATTCAAGTTATGGATGTTTTGCTCCTTCTTCTTCTTCTTCTTCTTCTTATTATTCTTTTCTATAAAGTGCACTGCCCATATTTTGTTGGCACAAGCAAGTTGTAGAAGCAAATATTTGTCAAAGTTCATATAACGTCATTCTCCTTTAAATAATTTGTAGAAACAGTATATGAGGTTAATGTGTTCTACACAATGATTTATTAGTCTAGCTCCGGAAGATTCCTCCAAATCTATGGCACAATAGCACGGAAGGTATTGTCATGTTATGAGATTTGTTAATTTTTTAATTAATAATATATGAGGGTTGCAATTGGTGATTACCCTATCCCTATACTTAATTTTTGTTTCCATACGCTACTATTACAAAATCTAACGGTTTCGATTGGGTAAATTACACTTTGTACCCTTACATTTTCTATCAAATTTCATTTTGGTCTTTATATATGAAATCATGACAGTTAATTCCCTATACTTACACTTCTAGTAAAATCTCACTTTGGTCTCTACACATGAGATTGTGACAGTCAACCTCCTGTATTTTTGGTCAAATCTCACTTTGGTCTCTATACAAATGTTAATGTCCTATTTCTGTTACTTAATTGTTTAAATCTTTAACAGAATATAATTATGTGACAAGAATGTAACTACGACATGAGGGTAAGAGAGAGAAATCATCTACATTTTCCACCAATACATAATTTGTCCTAAAATTTACATCAAATTATGACTATATTAGGTTAAAACAAAATAAAGATTGTAAACGATTAAAAAGATGAATTAGGATTGTGCATAAATTGAAATCATGAAACTCTGTTTTCACAGTAACACAATTTTCTATCTATTCATCTTCCTTTCTTTTTGATTTCTTTTTTTCTTCAAAAGCTCTATTTTCTTACCTCTTCGTTCCAATTTTTAGCATTCGAACATATATATATATATATAGGGAAAATTATGCAAATAGTCCCTGTAGTTTATACGATGTGTCAATTTGGTCCTTATAGTTTCAATTTGCTCAATTTTGCCTCTTAATTTAACGGATTGTGTCATTTTAGTTCAATAAATAATGATTGTTAAGTTAATTTAACGAAAAATTAAATAATGTGTTAATTTGGTCTCTGTATTTTTCACAATGTGTCAATTTAGTTTCTGTCAAAATCGAGAAAATTAAAACTACAGGGAGCAAATTGACACATCGTGCAAAGTACATGGACTAAATTGACACATTGTTTGACCTTCCGTTAAATTAACTTAACAACCGGTATTTATTATACTAAAATGACACAATCCGTTAAATTAAGAGATAAAATCGAGCAAATTGAAACTACATGGATCAAATTGACACATCATGTAAACTACAGGAACTATTTGCATAATTTACCCATATATATATATATTGTATTGTATAACTCTCATATAAGACAGTGTATTGGTAGGAAATATGAATGATTTTCCTCTCTTACCCTTATTTCGTAGTCATATTTTTGCTACATATTTGGATTTTATTAAAGATTTAAAAATGAAGTAAAGAAGGAAGACAATGACACTTGTGCAGGGAAGTGAGATTTGAGCAAAAATGTAAGGGGTTGATTGTCACGATTTTATGTGTAAAGATCAAAGTAAGATTTGATTAGAAGTGCAGGGGGTTGTCTATTATGATTTCATGTGTCGGAGTCAAAATAAGATTTAGTACAAAATAAAGGAGTGCAAAGTATAATTTGTCCGGTTTCAATTTATTATCTATGAAGCATACTCATACTATTTACAAAGTAGTCATATATGTATGGCATCCATATTAGACAGTGATAGTTTGTAGATTTTCACATATATGTGTTTTGTACTTTCCAAGTACATTAACAATTGTAAATAAATTTTAAAATTTTAAATAGGTATTGGATACTTTCTTAATATTATAAGGATCAGAGCTATGTTGCAATTAAGATGTGACATGCATGTCTGGTGTAGAATTAGAATATAATTGTTATTCTATAAAAAAGAAGAGAAGGAAAGAGAATATAATTGTTATAATAACTACTAGAATAGTTTGCAATACTTTTCATATCATCAGTGAAAAAAACTTAAGAAATAGTGAAAATAAAGCATTTCAAATTTGTGTCATCACCATGGCCAGGGCCAATCTCTCAGGATAAAGAACAACTATCAAAATATTTATTTATATATTTTTTTCTTAACATAAAAGAGTAATAAAAGGAAAGAGAAAACTATAAATATTCATATTGAACTAACAAATATAAGGCCACAACAGTTCAAAGCTTTCCATCTAAGGAATACAAGAATAAATAAATCTCTCCTACCAAACAAACATCTAATAAGTAATATAATGAAAAATAAAAACCAACAAAAATTTAGAAATTAACCTTAAGTTTGCAATAATCATGAACACATACAAGGAGGAAGTAAAACAGAAAACATGCATATATAAACACGAGAGAGAGAGAGAGAGAGAGAGAGAGAGAGAGAGAGAGAGAGAGAGAGAGAGAGAGGAGGAATCATACCTAGCAAAAAGCATAAAAAAAATGGCAAAGAGAGCCTTCTTCCATGGAAGAATTAATTAGAGAAAGTTCAATGATTTAAGGATATCGATGTATATGAAGGATTGTAATAATGGAAGAGTGAGATAAGTTTGGGGGTTTGGCCGTCGGTTGGTTGGTTGATAATAAGAGCGTGAATTAAGCATGACCCCAAAGTGACAATGTCGTGTTTGGAGGACAACACTAACACAAAAAATAAAGAAAGCTATTTGTGATCATCAAACCAATTGATATAGTTGGGGAGAGAGAGGTTGACCGTTTCAAAACCATTACTTGTGATAAGTGTTATTTATTTAAAAATATTTTACAAATTAATAAATTATATATATATATATATTTTTTGTTTACTGATGTAGTAATGTAATTTTAGAATTTAAAATAAGACATAATATAATAGCATGATAAATTCCACAACAAGAAGTAAAAAAACTATAAATTTTATTAATTTGTATAGAATTACTCTTCTCTGTTTAATTACTTAAGGTGGAAAATTTGTTAATTGTTTTTTTATGGTACTAGTTGTGATGTCCCGGGTCTTCGACCCTGTCACATCCCAAATCCGGGTAAGACCGGCCATGACCCACACGGCCTTAGCCCAAGGCACACGTAAGCCTAAGCATTACTCCATAATCACATTGAACAACTATACAAAAGTCCAGTAATAAAAAAAACCAAACTCAATCCAGGGACATGCCACAAGTATAAACGGCAAAACCAACCGTAATCAATACCATCCAAACTTATGGGATATAAATAGTCCACATATCAAAATAATCCTAAATAAATCTCAATAAAAATAAAAAGAAATATGCACAAACTTGACATAACAATCTAAAACAAAATAAATGAATGTCTTAGAGGTCCATGCAATTAAGTTCCCGCTACGCCATAAGTCCACCCTAAGTCCTTCTAACACCTGGAATTGATAAACAACAAAGTCAGTTGATAGCTCAGCGAATAGCAATATGGATAGTATATACAGTTTTGAAAATAGGGATCAATTTCAAAATAAGATATATATCACAGAAACTAGATTGGTATACAGTTTAGTCAAGACAATTTGTTTCAAAAAGAAGATTCCACGGTTCAACAATTAAAATATTCATGTCTCTCAAGAACATGATAAATTACATTTTTCACTTAAAACAGGTTATAATATGAACACCAATAATTTTCTGGATATCAAGAATAACAAGTAACATGCCACACAATTCTCAAGGCTATAAGCCCCGTTGGATCCAATACCGAACTAAGAGTCATCCTTAGGGTGGCAACCTGGCCTTTTCTCTAAGATGATCCGATTGAAGGTCACCTAGCCTAATCTAGGTCTTTTCCTTACAATCATTGAGCACTAGAGTCATCATGGCCCAACTCGGATCTGTTCCCTAGTGGCCAGAGTCACCACACACAGTGGAATAATTTTCCTGGACTAAAATATACAGATGGTCCCAATAATCAATACACATCAGTTTCGCAAAACAAGGTAGTTCACCATTATAAACATGAGACCAAAACAAATAGTTTACACTCTGCCAAGTTCACACATGTTTCAGAAATAATTTGATATCATTGATAATATAATAATTTATCAAAACAGTTTAGTCCTGAAACAACAATTAAATTTTCCAACAGTTCAAGGTAGGGGAACATTTATAAAAATACGTAGCATGAAACTACTCACTTGAAAACGAAATAATATAATCCTCGAATAGAGTATGAAAGTCCAACTAGTGCCCTGGATCAAGTATGAAGGCTACACGTTACTACTAATTTAAAAATACTAAAGAGAATAATAAACTAAGTGCTTCACACTAAAGCGCACTAACACAGCTCAACCAAACTCACCGTTACTCTTAAATATTACCTAAGCTCATGTTCTTCAAGGTCTAAAATTACCCAAGACATGGGTTCAGATCGAAACTTAATTTAAAGTAATTTTAAGATAAAACGGAGTTTTAAACAAGTTTTTCCAATCTATTCACTAACTTTGAAAATTACAAAACCCAATCCACGCTGTTCAAAAAATTCCAAAACCCTGTAGATATCAACTAATATATCCTAAGTTTCAAACTCAATTGGTTTCACTTGATTTGCTTATCAAAACAATTATTTACAATTAATTATATCCAAACAGGTTGTTTTCTGCAGCACGTTAAAGAAATTAATGGTTCTCTTAGTATACACGAGCAATCAACGCAAGGCCAAAAATGTAAGAAACTAGACTCGTAAACCAGTTCTAATGACACTAAT